AGCATTGTATTGAATATCTTTACCTACCTACATGAGCTTTAACTTGAGTTTTTGATCTTTGAAAGATCTTTGTTTGTAATCCTCTTCTTGTGCTATTAGTGAGTGATCTTGGGGGTGTGCTGATTCCTTCAAGAGTGATCTATAGAGAGGATCTTTGGGGTTTAAGTGTAAAGGGGTGAGATTTGAGAGAAACACCCTTCTTCTTATAAAGGATTGAGTGGCTCCTTTAAGCCACTATTGTTTTTGTTTGTGAAGAGTGTGGAGGAAATCTTTGGTGAGTGAAGCCAAGGTAGAGGACTAGGCTCCAAGTGGTTGGACCGAACCTCTATAAAATCATTGTGCAAGCTCTTCTTCTCAACTCTCTCTTTAATTTTTGTTTGGTGGTTGTAAAGAGGTGAAAATTCTCCAACTCCAATTCACCCCCCTTCTTGGAGTGCATTGAGTCAACACCTTAAGGTCATCATAAATCTTCAGTAGGCAGAATCCCCTCTCCACCTCGGTAATCCATGACCCTACCTGCTCAAAACCCATGTACCATCAAATTTCTTGGTCACCACCTTCTGGAATTTTGTATAGACCTTCCAGCTAGGCACGACAAGAGCAGAAGATATAGGAGCAGGAGAAATAGGAGCAAGGGCCGTAGGAGTAGAAACCACTGGGGATAGAGGTGGCATACTCGTGGCAAAAGATGCTTGGCGTCTCATCTCCGCCATAAATTCCTGAACAAAAGTGGCCATTTGAGGGTTACTTGTCCCTCCCTCTTAAGGAGCAGCTTGGGTAAAGGGGCTAGCAGTTGGGATTGGAGGAGTGCCCTGATCCTTATGGCCACCCCTCGGGCACCCACGTCATTTTAGAGCCATCTATAACCACATAGAAGGTTTATAGACTATTAATCAAGTGCCCCAAATTAGAGTTTAATAGCAAGTTTGCACTTCCGGGACCAAAACCAAATAACTAAAATCCAACACATTAAAGAAAGAATCAAACAGGTGCCCTTAATCAACTCCACTCTCATGCCTCACCACGTTCCTATAATCCATTGGCTAGCCAAGTTCTAAACAAATCCTAGGTATTTAATTTAAATCTAGGCCTGATACCACAAAATCTGTCACGCCCCTAAACTAGGAGCGAAACAGACGCCGTGCACTCGTGAACGGGTTCCACAAATGCACAAGGTTCGGAACTTACTGTGTTCATAATTACCAATTTACATAACTTAAATCAGAAACTCGGTTAATATCTAGCTTTCAATTACCAAAAATTTGCTAGTCTAAATGTACAAAAGTTTATAAAACAATCATGGCTATAACCAAGGGAAACTCAGTATACAAAAATGATTTGTCATTTCATATCTATGACAAGCATGTGTGGCTAACGGCCTAAGCCCAAAAAGGATCTAAGTCTAAAATACTGACTAACTATCTAGCTCGTCACTCCCCTTGGTTAGCTGTGCCTTAGGTCTCACTTCCTAAAATGGTGAACAAGGAAAACTATGAGATAAGATATCTCAGTAAGTAAAAATATGGGTAGCCCATGAGTAAAATTTAAGCATGCTTGATAAACAATTTAATCAGAACAAAACGTTCAATGATAAATTGTTAATGTAGAACAAGATTCAACAGTAGTCTCATCTATAAATCAATAACAAAGCATTCAATGATAAATAGTTAATGTAGAATAAGATTTAGTAGTAGTCTCATCTATAAGTCATGGCTAGTGTTTAATAACTCCCACGGGTAAGCGTCAATAATAACCAATATATTAGCCCATTGGTAGGCATCAGTAATAACCAATGTATTATCTCATTGGCAGGATTACAAAATGAACCTGTCTTATCGGTAAACATGTCGACATGTGCTAGCGTTTCAAACTCCCATTAGCAGGGGTCAGTAATCAATAATCACGACTATATTAGAGACAAAACCATGCAGGATTTACAAGAAAATTTGTAATTCACAATCAATCTCAAATTTCAAGAATAAACCAAAAAAATTCCATGTGGGCATGGATTTAACAGGAAAATCATAATTTACAAAAATTTTTAGAACATCAAGGCAGTTAAGTAACTCCAAGTAGGCATGCTCTTACTCAATGAAAATGAAAATAATTTCATTTTAAACCAATCATGCTCGGTGCTAATAAAATCAATTTAAACCTTGCCAATATCTTAAAAACAATTTAAAATATGCTTTTACTTTGAAATCGAAGGGCGTTACCATAATTTACTTATCTCAGTCACATAACACAGAAAACTCACTCCAAGTGCTAGGGTGGTATAACAATCAAAAACCTAACCAAAATATTCCAGAATTAATAACCATATGACCGGACATCTCAATTTTATTCTTAGTATAAACTAAACATTTAAACCCTCCTATTGTTTCTGGCCATTAATCCCATAAAAAAATCTTATTTATTTATTCTCATTTTTTCTTCTCTCTGAAATTGAGCACAGAAATCAGATTGTACATTTATATATATGTACATAACACACATATACAAAATTCTCCAATTTCCCAGACAACATGGAGGAACCGGCCTTGGCCAATCAATGGCTAGTTCATGGGATTTTTTTTCTCCAAAACGTCATAACAGCCAATTAACACCCAATCATATAAATTCTACATGAATTAAGCTTAATTTTGATCTAATCACTACTGGAATTCATCCCTTATTTTTGCAGAATTTCGAACAGCATAGGGCAGCAATTTAAATGGATAAATTCAGTAACTAAAGGGGTAATTTGGACTTAGATTGAGCTGTCACATACTAGAAGTTTCAGCAAGCAAAACGGAGCTGCAGGTTGGGGGAAGCCGGCGGAAGTGTAGGGGAAATTTTTGGGATCTACCAAAAATTGGGAGAAACCAAGAGAAATTAGAGTAAACCCAAGCCAATTCAAGGAAGCACAGAGGAATTGGTGGCTGTTTCTTACCAGAAATTTGGAAAATTCACACCCACACATACAGCAGAGCACGGATGGAAGGAACAGAGTAGAGCAGATCTGGAAATTTGTGTAGAGGGGAGAGATTTCAAGGCTCTAAATCTTGTTCTTGAACAAGGAAAGAAAGAAAAATCAAGCTTTTCTTACCAGTTTTTCAAGTGGGTGATGTTGTCGAGCTTGGGTTCTTTGTTCGGTGCAGGGGAGAAGAAGAAGAAGAAGAGCAGAACACGCGGCTGAGGAGAAAGAAAGAAGGAAAAAAAAATCAGGTGATCCTTATCCTAATTCTTTTCTCTTTTAAGTCTCTCAGCTTTGAAGGTTTGATGATTAAGTTTAACAATATTATTTTCTCACAATTAGGTCCCTAACTCACTTAATTGTTCTAGAAATTTTTGGGGTATTACAATGTAAATACGCACTGTGATCCCAGAAGATTCCTAACACCTAACACTTGATATAACCTAGCTAAAACCAACTTTTAGCCCCTCACCTTACAAAATTGGTAAGTTTTAGCCTCTAACCTTATAATATGACACTTTTAATCCTTTACCTTACAAAGTTGGTAAGTTTTAACCCCTCACCTTATAAAGTTGGTAGGTTTTAGCCCCTCACCTTATATTATGACACTTTTAGCCCTTTATTTGTACGAATTGAAGAAAATAACCCTTATTTAATATCATATTATAATGTTCTATTAGTTTTGTTAGCTGATTGTCAGTTTTGTTAGTTGATTGTCAGTTTTGTTAGTTGATTGTCAATTTTGTTAGCTGACTGTTCTGTTAGTTGATTGTTAGCATCCGTTGACATTCCGTTAATGGAACTAACAAATAAAATTCAATTAAAATTTCACGTTTTTTATAACGGAATGCTAACGATGTTAACAGTCAACTAACAGAATTAATAGAATGTTATAACCTAATGTTAGATGAGGGTTATTTTCTCTAATTCGTATCAATAAAGGGCTAAAACTATCATAATATAAGGTAAGGGGTTAAAACCTACCAACTTTGTAAGGTGAGGGGCTAAAACTTACCAACTTTATAAGATAAAGGGCTAAAACTGTCATGTTATAAGGTTAAGGCTTAAAACCTACCAACTTTGTAAGGTGAGGAGTTAAATGTTGGTTTTTGTCGAGGTAGATAAGGTCACAACAGGCCTCGCACGCTGTGAAATCCGTCCCCGTCCTCGTCCTTGTCCCTTCCCCATTCTTATTCCCATGAATGGTAGGGACAACGATTTTTGTGGAGATTTTGGCTAAATTCAATAAATAATTTATTAACTATGTAATTTATTTCAATTTAATTTAAAAATAATTTTTTTTAGAATTATCTATAAATTATCAATTTTGTTTTAAAATGATCTATTTGACAAATATTTTATTAAGACTAACGGAATGTTGGTCTAGACAAGTTGGTATAAACAAGTTGTATCCTAAACTTTGAAAAATATTAAATATAATACATATATTTTTGTTTTTTGCAATATTTTTTAAATTTAAATTCTATGTTAAATGTAATAATTAATTAAGATAATAATTTTAATTTACATTGATCACGATTTTAATTTTAATTTACAATAATCAATATTATAATTTAAATTTTATTATTTTTTAAAAAACCTAATACCATTATTAAATTACATATTTTTCACTAATTTGTATAGAAAAATAAAAAATTTTATTTTTGTTTTTA